GGGATTAGAAAGACTACTACCATTAAAGAAGAAACATCTTTCACCAATTATATTTAGTTTCTGTTTTAGCTGGCAATGACCTCCTCTTTATGTGAATAATGGAAATCCCTGGAGGAGCAGACTTGGTGAGGTGATTCCAATCAGCTGGGAAACCGTGTGCATACAGTATTTGCATCTCATGACCTGCATGCATGCACCTGTACTGTATCGATTTCTGTTTGTTTACAGGCCATTCAAGCAATAAGGAGGTAGAATTCAGATGACTAAAAACTTGCTCTGCTGGTAGCAGTTTCCTGCCTCACTGCACTCTGGAATATTCCAGCCTTGCTGCAGTGTGTTGCTGTGCAGCCACAGATTTTTCAGTTCTACCCATTACTCATTTCCCTAATGTATTTTTTAGCATTTGTATTGGTTCTGAGCACAGGCTATCATGCTTTACAGAAAAACGCAGAGAATCACTAGGGCAGGAAACATCTCAAGTAATGTATACTAGATCATAAATAATTGTTCAAAAAAAAAAATTCCCATAATCTCTTTTCAGAACTGGAGAGAATAGGACTGGGAAGTCTGCAGAATTACATAACACAACCATACAACTGACGCATTTATTTGGAACACATGCTATACTTATTTACTCTGAATCAAGAGATAGAAATATATTATCCAGATATATTATTGTATAGTAAGCAAATAGAAAAGGCTTTAATACCTGCACTTACTCTGTGCATGAGATTTTAATATGTTCTTATAATTCTGGGTCAGCCCACTTGGGCTGTAATCTGATTCCTCAAACTGGTGCTTAGGGAGGTGTAAGCCCAGTGCTTTTATTTCACTGATCCTTTCTGGACTCTTTTTATCAAGATGGCAGTGAAATAAGTAAAGATGCATGCAGTAGCTACATTATGAATACATGGTATAGTTAACCTAAGCTCTGTGGTCCACAGAATCTGTGTATAGATCCATTTAGCATTTTCTGAAAATGCATTTTTAATTGTTTTTAATGCATTTTAAATATCAATCAGTATTAGAGAGCAATGATGACCCAAACTCTGTGGCTAATGATGTTGTATATGTTTACATTGGCAAAAGTTGAATGTTTTTATACAGGACATCAGTTCAACTGGCAAAATCTTTTTTGAAAATCTCTTTTGGAGTATGGCATTGTTCTGATAGGGCCATTAGATGTATATTTTTCCCAATACAGCTTAAGGTTAATTCTAATAAAAACATTCCAGTGATGAAATGGTGGTCAGTGACTGATAGGGTCCAGATGATGGTGGATATCCCGAAGAGACCCTTCTCCCTTATGGTGTTACTGCAGATTGCAGACGTATTCTCCATAAGTTCTTTGGAGGTTACACAAACTGCCTATGATGATGTAGAGATTTGTAGAGTCATGGCTTTGGTTTCCAGTCGTGAATGATCTTGGGCCCAGGCAATTCTGTTGCTTCCCTGCCTGCCACAGCTTACCTGCTGGAGCAGAACCTGCTACCTACGGTGCTCTGTTCAACTGCAGGTAAACCCAAATGGCAGTTTCAGAATGTGGGCTCCATTCCATCATTCTAGTACATTCTACCCACTGCTTCGTGGCTGTAGCTCTTCCCATTTTGAGATACTGGACACTCAGGATTTCCTCTGAATTTAATATCTCTTGTATGCAGATGTTAAGTGAAGGTCTTAAGGCCAGATTAGTAGTCTGTTATTAAATCTAAATAGGATTCGAAATCCTCAGAGTTAAATGGGGAGAGAGATATACATTTTTATTGTATGGATAGTATGATATTGAGTATGATAGTTAGGATATTTAGATATGTAGTATAATACTTAAGATATTTAGATATTTAAGTTGAAGAAAAGACCTTCATATTGGGTGGTTTTTATTGCTTCTCAGCTCTCCAATATGGTCCTTGTCTGTTCCAAATCCACTACCTGCAGTGATGTTCTGATTTAGCAAAACTTTTACCTCAGGGGATGCCCTTGCCCTTATGTTGCAATTTAAACCCATCTGTCAGCCAAATATCACACAGCCTCATGGCCCACCCGTCCCCACCCTGAGGGATGAGGGAGAGATTTAGAGGGTAAAGGCAAGAAGTCTTATAGGTTGAAATAAAAACAATTTAATAATTGAAATTAGATGAAATTAACATATTAATTATAATAATAGTAGTAATAATACAAATGAGTATTATGCATTTGCTCACCACCTGCCAATCGATGCCCATCCCATTCCTGGCTAGAGATCCTAGAGAAGAGAACAATACTGAAACTGCAATCTGAGAAGAGAGAGAGCAGTTTCCTGGCCAACCCTCATCTATCTACTGAGCGTGATGTTACTTGATATGGAATATTCCATTGGCCAGTTTGGGTCCAGTGCTCTGGCCGTGCTCCCCACAGCTTCTTGTACACCTGCACACCAGCAGGACATGGGAAGTTGAAAAGTCCTTAATTTCTTAGCAACAACTGAAAATTTCACTGCATTATCAACATTCTTCTCATACCAAATCCCATACTGAATCCAATGCACAGGACTATTCTAGCTACTAAGAAGAAAAATTAGATCCGTCCCAGCCAAAACCAGGACACCTTATAACAAGCCCTTAACACAATTTTAACATTGGTTCTTGTAATTGTCAGTATTTGTTCCATTCTGTACCTTGAAGAATTTTGCAACATATGCTTCAGAGTGGGATTTGGTTATTTTTAATTGTGAGTTTCAGAGTCACCATTAGACTGGCAAAACACGCAGGACCCCCTAGTAATTTTAGATAGATAATTAGAATAGAAAAGCACCAGGTCATCCATTTCCAGCTTTACTGGATTGTCAGTTGTTGAAGCATTTGATCCAGGCCTTATTTCCAGTGTCATCAACCTTATCCTGTTATTGTTTATTGTTTTTTGCCTATGGCAGAAAACAGCCAGAGGACTTCTCCTGGTGATTACAAAAGTCTTAGTTTCTCTGCTTCCTTAAATTGAATTTCAAAGGATCAAATTTTAAAATCAGTATCTGTTATTTTAGAGCCATGGTTCTGTGTTTAAATCTATTCTATGTCTCCAGACAGTGCTTTTAGTTATCAGTAGTCTAGAAGACAGAATAAGAAATGATCGGTAGTACCTTTATTTCTGTTCATATTATTGCTAGATGCAATGGCAGGTGTGGTGGCACATTTGATCTTCCAGCTACTGGAGATACTAGCTTACAGATTCATCTCTGGATGGTAACCCTGGCTATTTAATTTGTTTTGCTCCTCCATCAGAAACATTTCCATCATTGTGAAGAGAACCATGCATCTTTATCGTATCACATAAAAACATTCTTGCAATTTTAATCAGAATGAGAAACCCTCATGGAGGGGTTGTCGATGGACTGCTTAAGACAAATGAGGAAGATTGGTTGAAGTACCTAATAGTTTGTTTTTGGTTTGGTTTTGTTTTGTTTTTTTTTTTTTTTTTTTCCAGACATCAGCACAAGATAACAGGTGTTTCCTCTGGTAAGCGATTTTTCTAGTAGCTAAAGAGACTTGGGTTTTGTATGCTGTCAAGTTTCAGGTTTAATATACATTAAGGGACACATCTTCTCAGACAATCTTCTGTTGACTTTATGGGAAAAAAAATAATTATTGAACCTTTTCAGATGTTTGAAACAGGGATGGTTAGAGTCTCCACTCTTCCATGGTCTGCTCAAGCATTTCCTTTCATCTGTGATTTTCAAAAGTAAAACATGACACAGTGCCTTCTTAGAGAATGTTTATTACTTAAACATGTAATCATCTGATTAGTTACTGTGTCTTACGCTAAGTTTTGTATATGTTTTCCTGGTGTAAAGACTGACTAGATTCATCTGCTATCCTTAATTTCATTTAGTTATTTTGTGGAATCAGATAGCTAAAAAGCCAGAACTTCTTTCCAAAGAGCAGGCATTTCTCAAAGACACTTTCAAGGTGTGTGCATTTAGAGGGGGTCCTTATATGTACTTTTTGTTGGAGCAGATACAAGGAGTGGGACGTTAAATTAGAATAAATCTTGTAGATTAAGAACCAAGTTCAGGTCTTGCTGAACACAGTAGGCTTGCAAGAAAAGAACTGCAGCAAAAGACCCTCCTTGACTCTAACAATATCTCTCCCTATTTGAAGCAACATATAAATCTGAATTTTCTGATTAGTCACTTGGTTCAAGCAAGGTAATGTTAGTGCAATACTTTCAATGTGTCTGAAGTATTGTCACATGAAATTCTTCATTACTTCATATTTTACCCTTCAGCACGTTGGATATTTCTGATTGAATTAAATACTTTAAATACTCTAGGGCTTAAAGACCTAAAATAGATGCTGTTAGGATTGTGCCTTAGCTATTTCAGAATTTCATCCTCCTCAGAAGGAGAGAAAATTTTAGTAAATGAAAGTGGAAATCTTTGGCTTTTTTTGTGTAAGAAAAAATGTAGCACATGACTGTTGATCATCTTCACATTTTGGTTGCTCAAACTAGAAAACATGGATGGAAAATGACTAAATATGCTTTCCTTAATTTGTTGGCACTTCTTCAATTGAGGTATTTAGTGGAGAGATTGATTTAGAAAATGTGACATCTTTATTTTGTAAGTCCTGTGTGCATTAATTTGCATTGTGGCAAAGGGCATGTGAAATACTATTTGTGCTTCTCCAAGCACATATGACCCAAATGTATACAATGCAGAACACATGAAAATGGGAGGGAGAAATTACATTCTCTGTCTAGAATTCTGTAGCCCTGCCAAGATGATGAGGAAAGGGTTTAAGAAATTACATGTGAAATTTTTTCTTTAGAAAGAAGCCTTTTCCACCACCCCTTCAGAGAAGTGTTACTTTTAAGAAAGTCTCTACCAACCTTTCCAAAACTCTCAGTGCCTTAGTGAGCTCAGGAGGCACTTTATTTCAGAAGCTGTCTGTACAATTTGTTTGTCATACTCCCATTGTTTGGAAAGGCAAAGTCAGTCCCTTAATTATCTTAACTATTGTCTCTTTCAGACCCTGAGAATAACATGCTGAGATTTGGGCAGCACCTCATCAAGCCCTCCGTGGTCTTCCTGAAGACTGAGCTCTCCTTTGCTCTCGTGAACCGGAGGCCGGTGGTTCCAGGGCGTATCCTTTTGAGTAGTGCCTCCACGATGGGTGCCTACGCTCTTGGGAAAAGCAGGAGAAGCTTGATGCACTTCAAAGGCCAGGTAGGAAGTTATGCAGGTTTATTTTGAAACCAGGCAGTGGAATGTAATATGCTTGATCAGTGTTGCAGAACTGCCGAAAACGGTTGCTTAGCAACTGTGACCTTAGAGGTGAATTTCCATTGACCTTTTCACCACAGAAGATGTATAAACAACCAGGTGCTACTAAAAGCATTTTAAAGTGTATCTGAGATGGTACTGTTTAAATTTCATATTATGCTAAATAACACATCGCACTTCCCTTTTAATAATGTCACTTATTTTTAGACGTGGTAACTCCTTTATGGAGAATTTTCAACTTCTCCTTGCTAAATGTACACAATTTGTCAAATGGCAGCAGAATCCTGTATGACTCTTATATTTTTGGGACAGATTGCTTTGATTAATTTAGGTAGGAGTGGATTAAATAAACCATCTGTATAGGGCACACATTTCCTGAGGAAAAGATGAAGCCCCATGTTGTAAGTAAAATTTTCAATTGAGACACTGTATAGGAACTTGATTCTGCAAGATGCTATATGTACCTTTTTAGTCTATTTTTTAGTGTGGCATATTATTTTCCAGTCAAAACTGCTGCTGTGTAACTTGTGCTGATTTCAGTGGTTGGAGGTGGAACTTTTCAGAAATACTCAAGACTGATCACTTAATTTCCATAGAGGTCCATGGTAAAATTTTTGTAGGTACTCAGGCAATGGCTGAATGTGTTCTGGGAAAAGAAAGTCATCTGGAGTTTATTGGAAGTTTTTGTATTCTTCTGTAGTTCTATGTTGTTTCTTTCATAGTTTAACATATAATTTAAAATTTAGTAACCTTTAATATATTTTTTTTAAAACCCATAAATGTGTTTCTCCTACAATATGGAAGCTTCCTCTCTTCCTGTCACTTCAGTAGTTTATAACTGTTCAATATAGAACTTCTCTCTACACTTCTGTCATAGTTTAAACTCAACTGGCAGCCAAACACCATGAAGCCGCTCGCTTACCCTCCCCTGCCCAGGGAATGGGGGAGGGAATTGGAGAGGTGAAGGGAGACTTGTACATTGAGATAAAACCAGTTTAATACTGAAATAAAATAAAACAATAACAATAATAGAAAGTACAAACGGATAATGCACAATGCGATTGCTCACCACGTGCTGACCAATACCCAGCCCATTCCCAGCCAGCGAACTTGAAATACCTAGATCCCGCAGTTGCAATCCTGGAAGCGAGAGAGCGCCCTCTCCTTCCCAGTCGTCCCTCCTTTGTGTACTGAGCATGACGTTACATGATATGGAATATTCCATTGGCCAATTTGGGTCCAGTGCTCTGGCCATGCCCCCCCCCCAGCTTCTTGTGCACTTGCACACGGGCAGGACATGGGGAGTTGGGGGAGTCCTTGATTTCTTAGCAACAACTGAAAATATCAGTTTATTATCAACATTCTTCTCATACCAAATCCCATACTGAATCCAGTGCACAGCACTATTCTAGCTACTAAGAAGAAAAATAAGCTCTATTCCAGCTGAAACCAGTACAATATGCTTTGAATGGTGTCTGTACCAGAAGTCAGATTGTTTGGTTATAAATGCATGGCAAAGATGCATAGACTTTATAGAAACTTTAAAGGTGTTACTATCTCACCAATATATTTTAATGAATTAAATGCACAGGTCTTTTCAACTTCAAGTTTCTGAAGTATCTGATGTAAATCCATGTGATTTCCAGATTTGTCATTAAAAAAAACAATATTCAAAGCTATCTAAAGACAGTATCACATCGGTCACTGTGGGATGCAGAGCCTGTAAACGGCTGAGCAGTATGTTGGTATATGCATTGTCCAGATCAGCAAGTAAATATAATGTTATCTGTACTGTGTGTGGAAGTTTTAAAAACAATAGTTAATGATTTTTTCAATTAATCTCTTCAGTGAACAATTGCATCTGTTGTTAAAAATAAAGAAGAGTTATTTCAGATGGAAGATACTTGTTTTAAAGTTTTGTGAGCACCTAGTAATGAAAATTTAAGGAGCCTATAAAAATTAATTATTACAAGCTTCTTTCTTCCTTAAATAATTAAAGATTATAAACCCTAGTTGTATAGTTATTACTGACTATTTGGAAGATACATTTATTTGCTCAGGTTTAGCTTTGTTATCCCATAACGAGTATTGCAGCATATTTTATAGCGTCACATTGTTTTAATAGTTCATGTGTTGTAATATATAATGTAGTCTTTTTTCTCCATTGAATAGATGTTCAGGTAATAAAAATCTGACCCTTTCCCTTTCTCATTACAATAAGAAAAAATTAGAAAATATCTTGATGCAAATGCTAGAATACAGTATGTAAAATAGAGCTATTTGCAGTTGTAGGCCTTTAAAATGTCTGTATAATGCAGCATTCATCTTGAGACCTGGCAGTAACAAGTGTGTTTTCTTTGTTTTATTGCAATAATTTTATCTGCCTTGTCTTTGGCACGCTTGTGACATTCCTTTTCTTTTTTTTTTTTTTTTCTTTTTTTTTCAGTAGAAAATAAAATATTAATGTGTGTGAATTAGAGAGACAAAGGAAATCAGTTTGAAAGCCAGCTCACTCCAGGTGGTGGCTTTAATTAACTAGTAAGGTTGAAGTTCCATCTTGAAACAGAATGTAGGATTGGAGGTGTGAATTTCCTGTAATAGTTTTAAAATAAAGCTATACTCTGGAAAAAAAATCAGTCAAAATGATGTCATGGAGTTCAATGTTTGTGATTTCAGCAATACCAAAGAATGCTTGTTCAGTTAACACATTACAGAGTTTTGTTGTGTTTATTTCCAGCTGCCAATCCTGTGAATTTAGCCTGACATTTGAGAGTCAAACTGTGCTAATAGTAACCAAGAGTAGGAACATCAAGAACACGGTATTCATGGCAAGGACAGCGTTCCCCTGTTCCTGGAGAGAGCTGCTTCATTTGCCCCAGCATGAGACTTCTGTCTAATGGGTGCACACTAGTTCGTGGACTCAGGAACCTGTTCATAATAGAATTCCTTTAAGTGATTATTGCAGATTCTTGAATAGGAAGTAACTGGGATCTTACTATTGAATAAGGGATATCTGGAATTAAACTGGAAACTCTACTGCGTGAGCTAAAATATGTGCATGTGTTTGACAGTAGTAGCAAACTCATTCACCTCTTTTGGCACAGCCAAATGAAGAGGGAGAGCTACACATGGTCAGTGTGCAGGATTAGTGCGTTTTCTCCTCAGCACATTCAGTCCCTTTGCTGTCACCTAATAGGAAAATGGTTAAGGCTCAGAGGTGACTGACCACAGTCTGTCTGAAGATATCAAGTCACTCAAATCCCGTGACAAAATGAGGAGCTCGTACCTGCTCCGTTCTTGCATACAGTTCAAGGGACATGATGGGGCTTCCCTGCCCCTTCTGACAGATAAGTCTTATTTCAGAGCAGCCAGGCACATGGTATTGGGGGCAGTCTTGATTAATGAGATACTGTTTTGGGGGTTGTGATGTTATGTTGGTTTTCTGTTTTGTACAGAAATGGTATGATTTTGTTTTGCTAATGCCTGTGAATTGTTACAGACAAGAGTCTAGGTGGGAATGCTGTATGCAGTGCACATCTTAGCAGTTAGCTTGGGAGTGGGGAGGAGGTGAGGTGGTTATTCTGTAAGCTTGCTGGGATTTGTATGCTTACACAGATTCCAATACCATTTTCTATGAAAAGGAGAGTTCCCCTTTCCTCTAGGTTCTGTTAGCTTGCTGCTCTACAAAGAGTGATTGTGAAAGAAGTAATTTGTAGCTCCCTTGAACAACTATGTAGCTGTTTTAGAGGGGGTAGATATTCAATAGCTGGCATAGTGCGGGGATGTGTCTATAGTCAGCAAATGCATTGTTTCTGTCACACAAAAGGCACAAGATGAACTGAATCGGCTCATGCAACTAGCATGAGCTAAGCTTCTAATTGTCTTCTTAAAATATTTCATTCAGAGCCTTGCTGCTTCTGTAGTTCAGAGCAGAATTGTAGTGTCTTTTTGAAGAAAATCCATCTGGTCTTTGACATGGACTTTTTGCTCTTTAATATGATAACAAATACTTCGTGAATGACCTACCATTTTATTGATGTTTTCCTAGCCATATGCCGTAACTTTACATAGTTTTGCTCACATCTTCAATAAATACGAACTGTTTTTTTAATCACTGACTTTCTCATTGCGTTGTGCAGGATACTCGCTTTTACCTTCTGTTAAACATGAAAAATGAATTCCAACATTAGTAGAATCAATTTGGGGACTAAGACTTTTTATTATAAATAAAATTATTCATTTGTTATGTCCATTTTTTTTTTTTTTTTCAGTAGACAAGGTATTGATCTTTGGATTTGTGTTCAGGATGCCAAAAGAAGAACTAGCACGAAAGGAACACAGCAACATTTGTAAATTGATTGAATGCAATATGTAATGACAGAGACAAACATGAGATCTATGGCAATACTATATTATACGAAGCATTTTTCAACAGTTTATTGAATTGGTTATTAAAAAGTACAGGCTTTCCATCTGGGAACAATGAGCTGATGGTTATCAGGACCAAGCAATTTTAAAGAAATTTGTGGTGGATAGCTTGGCTCCTCAGAAAGTACACATGTATTATGTGTGTATAAGAAATTAAAATAAACACTTTACAATAACTTTTCATCTGGGAATTAATTATGAAAAGGTTTTTCCATTAGAAAAAAAAAAAAGACACTGTTTAACTGAATTTTGCTGGACTATTTGGTATTGCTATTTCCATAGAAATCTAGTGTTTTCCACTAGAAAGTATTCTGCTTGTTGGGGAATAGAATGTACATAAAAACCCAGAGCATGTGATATTTTCTGGCAACTTCATCACTAGATTAAGTTAATTATTCATTTTTTCTTGTTGAGACAGTATGCTGTTCTGTG